ACAGGATACAACATAGCACACAAGTCAACCAAACCCTCTGCCTTTCCAGATAAGGTTTTCTCATATGAAATGTAAAATGCTAACAGGGGCAAAAAGAGTTTTACAAATATCTCGGTAGTGGTGACCCTGATTATAAAATGTGCAAAGAATGTTTAGGGGCACTACATTTGTGATCAGCTGTTTTCCTTTAAGAAATGGACTAAAAGTAGTTATTTTACCCTGTCAGAAGTTTCAAGGCTAAATTCTGTATTGCTCATTACACTACAGAATGGAAGATCTGACAGTGATTCATAGTGCTAGAAAATGTGTTCAAAAATCAAAGCAACAATGAATTATATAATAAAATTTGAACACATTTTCTATTTGATTTTTATATTTCAGTTTGATCTTTTATTTATGTTACATTTAATAATTTTTCAGTTTCATATTTTTAAGTTTGAACTTTTTCAACTTTGAATTTAAAATAACAGGAGTCAGAACTGACTTGACGGCAATGGGATATTAAAAAATGGGCAAAGGACTTGAACAGACATTTCACCAAAGAGGCTATTCAAATAGCCAACAAGCACATGAAAAGATGCTCAACATCATTAGCCATTAAAGCCTGTTGCCACTGAGTTGATTCTGACTCACAGCGACCCTACAGGACAGAGTAGAACTGCCCATAGGGTTTCCAAGGAGCGCCTGGTGGATCTGAACTGCTGACCTTCTGGTTAGCAGCCGAGCTCTTAACCACTGTGCTTAGGGAGATGCAAATCAAAACTATGAGATACTACCTCACCCCTATTAGAATGGTAAATATCAAAAAAAAAAACAAAAAACAACAGGTAAAACGGTAGCCACTAGAAAAGAATGGAGCATATCTCTCTTTAAAGAGAGAGGAAAATATGAGAAAAGAAAAGAACAGAGAGGAATGAATGGGAGTGAAGGGGAGGTTCCCTCGAGAGCTGATGTTGGTGAGGTTTTTCTTCTTTATGTCTCAGGCCTTTATTCCATAGCTTTGGGTAGGGCTTTAAGGGACGCTTCCCAACAGTAACTCAAGTTACTGCTGTCAGTTGGTTCAACTGCTGGGATATTATTCCCAATGACCTTCCTCATTGGATTAGCCCTTGCTCACCTGGGTACCACTGTTCTGTCATATCCTTTGCAATCATCCAGGGCTCCTTCCTCTGCTCCAATAAGGAGATGACATCAGACTTAGAAATGGAAATTCCTGTTTATAGGAAAAGAAATGGGACATGATCACGCTGTTCCAAAATTCAAATCCAGTCCCTTGGTTGCCAAGGAAGAGAGAGAGGCAATTACAAGAAGGAAGGGGTGAAGGTTATCCAAAGGCTGTAAAGATGGAGGTGTCCAGTGGAACTGCCCATTTCCAATTCCACAAAGCACAAAACAATTATCGTGGGAACAGAGAGCAGAAATTCAGCCAGACACCTGTGAGTCACCCTAGAAATCCACAATGAAGAAACCAGAAATTCTAGAAGGCTATACCTAAATTATTTGTGGTATAAATATCTATGGTGGTTATTCTTCATTTACCCTTTTCTTCCCCCAATCCATTCCTGGCTGTTCCTCGTCCTCCTCTGTGTTCCATCTGTGCCCCAAACAGCTTACCTCTAAGGAATCTATTACCTTTGTCCTATGGTTCCCTGTTGGGTTTGGCATATGGAAAGCACTGGCAGGAGGTCAGCAGGCAACACGGGGCAGAGTTTAGGGTATTTTTTACCTCTCTCCCTCCCTTCTTTGACCCAGGAGTTCTGGTGGTAGCTACAACTGCTGCCTGCTGGGCCCTTTTCCTTGGCTCCAGCTTTCATCCTGTTTCAGTGGCACTGTTTCCTCCCTTCGCTCCTTGTGGCCAGAGGTGGTAACAGCTTCTCACTGTGGCCGTCCATGGGTGCTTTGTTTCCTCTCTGGCCCTGTTGTTGTTGTTAGGTGCCATTGAGTCAGTTCCAACTCATAGTGACCCTATAGGGCAGAGTAGAACTGCCCCATAGGGTTTCCAAGGAGCGGCTGGTGGATTTGAACTGCCGACCTTTTGGTTAGCAGCCAAGCTCTTAACCACTACACCATACAATATCCTTACCTAGTGAAACTAAGTTACTGAAGTTCTCCAAAGTCACATCCCTGTACAAGTCCTTCTGGGCAGGTTCCAAGTACTTCCATTCTTCCTGAGAAAACTCGACGGTCACATCTCTGAATGTCACCAATCCCTGAAATGATAAACCAATGCGTTACTAATAAATTAAAACACCTAAAAAAGAAAAACAAAGAAACAGAACTTTTCATTATGAAAAATTACAAAATATACAAAAGTATAGAGAATAATGGCCCCCATAAACCCATCACCCTGCTTCAACAATTAACAAGATTTTGCACATCTTGCTTCATCTCTTCCCTTCCATTTCTCCCCCTAGTGTTTTCTGAAGCAAATCCCAGATAACAAATATCATAGTATTTCACCCACAAATACATAGTATCTAAAAAATTAGACTTGTTTTTAAAAGTATAACCAGAACATCATTGTTGCATTTAATAAAATTAACAATATTTTCCTAATAACCAGACCAAGTTCAAATTGCTTCAATTTTCTCAAAAGTTAATTTTTACAGCTGGTTTGTTTAGATCAGGATTCAACAAGATCCCACACTGTGTTAAGTTGGTAGGTATCCTAAAGTCTCCTGAACCTCTAACTGCCCTCCTGAACCTTTTTTTAAATTTTACTGCCATTTATTTAAGAAACATTTGTCTCAGCAGATTTTCCCACATTCTGGATTTGACTGATTGCACCTTCACCACGCAGTTGAACGTGTTCTAATTCCACATGTTCTGTGAGGTGGTAGTTAGGTCTGGAAGTGTGATCTACATTTTTAGGGGGCATGAGTATGTCCAGAGGTGCTTGTACTTTCTAGTGCATCCTATCGGGAGGTATAAAATGGCTGACCAATTGTCCCATTTTTAATGTGGTTAAGATTGATGAGTAGGCTTAGGTTTTGACAACCCGATCCAGCAAGGAAAATGTCTTATAAGATTGAAAGAGAGGAGATGGAGAGGACATTGTAGGAAGG